AATTCTCTTTGTGAAAAACTACCTCTTTAAAAGACAAAGATTGCTTCTGTTACTTCTATTCACATATGTCTCTAACAATAGATTTATTGACAGCTCTTAGATAAGGTTTGGTTTTCTACTCTGCCTTGTTCATCATGGTGCATACTTTTCTACATGAAGAGAGACAGATTTGGCTCTTCTAAGGGAACATAAAATATACTGGTGTCCTAGGTGGATAGGGAAAGCATCTGACCTTTTGTTATATAGGGAAGCTTTTGACCTTTTGTTACTAATCTGTTTCAGGTAAAGCCCCTTTTTAAATAAATGGACTTAATTTGAGAATGCAAACCCACTTTCTGAAACCAATATTTTATGGAGCAGCCAGAGGATAAGGTGTCTGAGTTAGTAGGGGACAGTTGCCCTGGATAATCATTGACACTTTCACACTATGCTTGCAACTCAGTCTTCCTTCACATCAAAACAAATGCACTGCCATTGTGTCTACTCCAACTGTAGTAACCCTGAAGAACCACTGCATAGTGTTTCTGAAACTATGGCTTTCAACACAGAGAAGAACTGCCTCATAGTATTTCTGAAGCTATAGATGTTTACGGAAGTAGACTAACCACCTTTTTCTCCTGTAAAGCTGTTGATAGGTCCAAACCATCACCATTTCATTTAGTCCAGTGCTCTAGCAACAGCACCACCTGAGACCCTTCAATCTTCCTCTGCACCTTCCAATTTGGTTATTAATTAGCAAACCAACAAACAGTGGCTTTTCGCTGTTAGTTTTAGTTTCTTCTCTTTCCATTTTCCCCTTCTCTTCAGTGCCTTCCATCTCTGCCCTCTTGTTTGCACCAGAAGTAAAATTCTCTTCTAGAGTTCCTAAGCAAGAAGTGGCATATTGTTACAAATTTGTTTCCTGTATTATTCCTGGCAAACTCATTACAAAGTCATGGCCACTCAAGTGCTCTTTCTTTGGGACCAAAAATGGTAAATAAGGAGATGCTGAAAGCTTCCAGATAAGTTGTGTTGGTTTTTTTATTCCTGAACATAACTGTGATTTTTAACAGGATATGTGACCTTTATATATATATATGTATTCCCCCCTGCCCCATGCTGATTTGTTTAAGATTCGCAAATAATCTGTAGACCAACTGCAGTATGTGGCCAAAGAAGATCTTGAGATTACTTAACATCTCTTTATTTTTGTTCTGAGGGTTGGTTTTTTTTTAAAAAAATGTAGTTGTGCTTGGTAATTTTGCCATCATTTTATAAAATGGATTTTTTCTTCTTCCAGTAACAGATATTTTTAATCGACATTGAAAGCAACATGTTTGAATATTTTATGAAGACTAAATATATAGAAGAGGCAAAGTACTTTCATATATACAAAGTAATAGGGAACATTTAAAGCAACTTTAAAAGTACTTGTGGGCTAATAAAACTCACAAGCATCTTTATTTATTCTTGCACCATGGTAATTTTCAACTTTGAATGACCACACAACACTTATTTTCCCCCCCTATCTGTTGCTGTAAGTATCTAATTGAAACATAAAATGAAGAGATTGAGTTAACATCATTTCACCTTCAGAATATGAGTATAGATAGCAAGATGTTAAATTGTTTTTTTCTGCTTAGTAGAACCTGTGTATTGTCAAATATTTGGGGAACGTGACATCAGGATTGGAGGAGACTCATCAACAACCCACATTATGCAGATGACACAGCCTTGCTTACTGAAACTGAGAAGGGCATGAAACACTTGCTACAGAAGGTCAAGGACTGCAGCTTTAATATAGATTGAAGATCAACATCGAGAAAGCAAAGACTCTGCCACTGGGCCAACTAGCATCACCATGAACATTAATTTAGACTCTACTGTACTCCCAAGCCAAAGGTCATGTAACCTGGTATGTCCACTTGTTGTACAGAGGTAATTCATGGTTGCTGTGAAGCTGAACACTGTGACACATATGAGTCAAATGCGAGAATGGTTACCTATGGTGGACAGTGTTTGGTGGAGCTTCCCCATTAAAACAAGCTTGGAAGCAGGAGTGGCATCCACTTCTGCAATAGCTTGCCTCAGGAAACCATATGAAGCTTGAGAAAGGACAAAAATTATTCAGGAGGTGTCCAGGACTTTTGTTCATAGGGTCGCTATGAGTTGCCTACGACTCAAAAGCACTTAACAACAACAACAACAACGTGCTACAGGCACTGACTAGGTAATGTAATTCCATATGTTGTTGCTTGTGATCTTTATTTTTTTATTTTATTAATTTTAATAAACATTTACAGAGATTTTGGATTTCCATTCATTCATTGTTGTACTTTTATTCCACCACCCCACCCCACCCCAGTTCACTCTTCTCTCCGAAAACTAAAAGAAAAATTCCTTCATAGGTATACAATCCCCCCACCCCAGGTACACTTCACTATGGAGCCTTCATTCCGGACTCTTATGAAACAGTTCTCTCCCTCATCTGTTTCAATGCAGTATACATAATTTATCCAGTTTTTCTCAGTCTTACCCCAACCTTGATGTCAGCCCCATTGTACAACAGTGGCACTATGCAGTGTTTGTCCTTTTGTGACTGAAATATTTCACTCAGCATAATGTCCTCCAGGATGATCTTTATTTTAAGAGTATGAGCAAGGTAAGGAGGCCAGGTACTATAGTTTGTTAGACGTTGAATTGCTAACCAAATGGTTGGAAATTCTAATCCATTTACTACTTGTTGGGAGACTGTGAAACAGTTTCATGTAAGATTTATAGCATCTGAAGCTTGATGGAAGGTAACACTATGTATTTAATGTGTTTTAGTTTCATTGATAAATTGTTGCAAGAGTCAGTGTTGGCATTCATCTGTTAGGAGGAGTGATGATAGTGGTAGATATTGTAGATATGACTAATGTGAGAACACTGTATGCATACTGTTGGATAAGATAACTAAAGAAAAAGAAACGGGGGGGGGGAAGATGGATGGAAGAAAATGCGTAAAATAGGAAGAGGGTAAAACAATAGGAATATATATATTGTACAAATGGGTGAAAGAAAAAAAATAACAAAATCAAGGATGAAAACAAGAAGAAAATATGTATTGGGGATGGAGGAGAAGCTGTGGCATATGCCTTTTTTGTACCCTCCTGTGATGCAAGGTGGTATGTCTTCACATGGATAACATGAAGACCAAAGTACCTGCCCTTCAGATGGTAGAAACTGCTATCAGAACTGTGTTGGGGAACTACCTGCCAGTTAGGCTGGCACTGCAGATGTGGACCTCTTTTTCTACGCACCTTTTTCCGGTTTGTGACTCAGAGCTGTGCGTAAATGTGCTGCTGATGCTGAGGAGTTGAAGTGAGCTGAATGGATGTGGTGTGCTAAGTGGCATTCCTAGATACTGGAGTGATTGGTGGCATTGAAAGAGGACGGGCTTGTTGCTAGTCACTTTGAAGGTCTGGTGGGGAAGCAGGGGGCAAATAAAAGACCATCTTTGAACACCAGATATTTTTGTGGGCCCTAGTACATATTATCAAAACAAACTTCCCAGTATTTTCTTGGACTCAATCAAGATGTCTCTGCTGTGTGTGTGTGTGTGTGTGTGTGTGTGTGTGTGTGTGTATGCACGTGCACTTTCATTCTAAATGGTTAATACTGTCTTCTTTCAGTTGCCCCTGGTCTTCTCTATTCACTACAAAATGCTAAACTTCCTGCCCACTTTGCTGGTAGGCAACTTTACCTTGTTTTACCCTGAATCTCTTCACACCTTATCCTCTGTATCCAAAGAGATTTCCTGAGATTTAAGTGCCCTTGCCTTTATTGGTTCCTTCTTAACATAGCAGAGTGCTGAGCGAGGCACCACCCTGTTTCTGTCCTCAGTTACTTTCTTGCTTTGTCACCATTTTTTTTTTAATTTGATACTTTTATTTATATTTGTTTCATTTTGATTTTAACAGAAGTTTACAGAGAAGTTGGATTTTTTCATTCATTCATTCACTGCTGCACATTTTCCTCCCTACCCCCTCAGTTCATTTATTTTTTTTTATTTGTGAAAACATTTTTTTATTAATTTAGTTTGTTTATTTTTCATTTCAATGAACATCTACAGCGATTTTGGAATTCCATTCATTCATTCATTGTTGCACCCTTCTCCCCGCACAAGCCCC